TATATATTTATATAAAAGATGTGATATATAGAATAGAATTTATTTACACTTCAACATATACAAGTCAAGAAGGGGACTTGGTTTACAGAAGTACTTAACTCATTCACATTTAAACTCCTCTCCCGCCTTTATCTTATCAATTACAAACCATTACAATACATTATCTTTTATCTATACATAATCTCTATATCATAGCCCTATCACAATCTATCATTAATATCCATAACTCATTTCTTTCCTTTTATCTCTACCTAGTATTTCTTTGCTCTTATTTATTATATTGCCCTATCTTCCCTTATAATCTTTAACTGCATCATCTGTCTTCCATCTACCTCCTAGCCTTTTTATTTTCTATTTCATTTCAATTCGTTTCTTTAACTTATAAATAGATAATAAATTACCTATCACTAACTATAATATATTACGCTACAGTCTTATTTTATATTCACTTGTTATTTTAAAATACTCATTTCTTGTCTTTACATTATCTTTAAAAGATGTGATGTGTGTATATATATATATATATGGTTTTTCAATTTAACATTATTTGATATTTAAAAATAGTTAGAAAATAGCAGAGATTTTCAGCTTTCACAGTAAATCTGTTATCGTATTCCGTTGGCAGTTTTATTATATTTTTACTGGTACTCTGTCGACATAATTTACAACAGGTACTTTGTAGAATTTTTTTTCCACAGCCTCAGCTATGTAAAATAGATTTCTGATTCATCATTGTATACTGTGTTCTTTGTTGGATAATTATTCACAGAATTTCTGATTATTCTAATAATTATGTCGATTTCCAGCTGTTGTGATCGTCGTCGCGCAGGAAGGAATATTTTTTTCATTGTTTACAACATATCCTTGAGCTTTGTATCTGCGTGTTCCCGTTAATTGGAGAATGGAGATTCCAAATCATGAAAGAAAGCCGATCGCTTATTTGACTCGGAAGGCACAAATATCTTGCTGCCATCGTTTACACAGGTGCGTGAATTGAGTTAGTGAATAGAACAGATCTTTGATGTAACGAACACTTATAAATTTCACGATCTATTGATCGAGGAATCATTCTCAGGGAGAGAGAACGTTTCTTGTTCATTCATCGAGCATATGATTTCCCGGAATATTATGCGAATTATATATTAAATCAAAATAATCTTAAAATTAAATAACTTGAAATCATTAACAAAAAACTTCTCATTAAATTCCAGAAAATCATTTTTGCAAAGAATTAATCGTTTTTCAATTATTTAAAAGATAATTAGACTAATCGATCTTCGAACTTTGATACATTTACGTTCTACAATAGTTTTGTATTTAAATGAAAGAAATTTCGTTCTCGATCTTCATGTCTATTTTAAAAGCTAAAAAAAACTTATTTTTACGTACGAAAAAAATTATATGTATAGTGCAAAATGTATTCGTACAGAGAAATGTTTTTTAAAAAAACTTTATTTTTAAAAAGTAAATATTATCGAGTAAGAAATGAATCATTAAATTGATGTTGAATTAACATCGATATGATGATTTTAACAATTTGATGTTGATTCAACGTTTAATTGACGATCATTTTTTGCTGTGTAAATAACAATTTATTTATAAATAAAATAGACTGTATGTTTTAAAATTATATATACCAAAAAGATGTGTATTAATTATAGAAAATATCATCTGAAAAATTAGCGAAAATTAAAAATTGTATTGTATTTGTATTCAAAAAGTATTCGTACAATTGAGAAATTTAGCTTTTAAAATTAAGAATACATGCAAAATTTGTTTGTCAATGTAAGAACAGAATGTATTCATCGTACAAAATTGATATTTAATGTTTATTTTCTATTTCTTTCTTTTTTTATAAAAAAATTTCCTTGTACGAATACTTTTTGCTCTCATTGTATGTATAATTACATATTAAGCTCTTTTTTTAGAGAAAAAAATCAATTCATTGAATTGATCAAAGAAAGATTTTGTTTAGAACACCGTACCGAATTTAAAGAATTTTTAATTTTAGCCCATTCCTAAGCGAGCTCGAGAATGAAATGATATATGGAAAGTGCAACAATGTTTGCGGTCATGGTCACAATTACAATGGTAATGTGTATTATCAGTTTATTCTATTATTAACTTCGTTGTTTACATCACATACTAGACAAAGACAACAAGATCAGTCTTAAATAATATATCTGAAAAAATATCATATACCATATTTTTTCGTCGAATTAATTTTTTTTCTTTTCCTAGCGGAAGCTTGAAATTTAGAAGGTCTAATTTAATTAGAATCGTTTAATATATAAATTTTAAAAACTGTGTAAAAAAAAGATAACGTTCTTGCTAAGAAGTTGGACATTATTGTTTTTGAATTCTTTCAACTTTTAAATTTACATATTTAACTTTTAATATTAAATTTTTTAATGCATGAAATCTTACGCATGAAATCGGGATAAAATTAATTTTTAGTGGAAGTAACCGTCCGTGGACCTGTGAATCCTTTAACTGGAATGATTATGAATTTGGAAGATTTAAAGAACTGCATGCAAAAGGTATTGATGGATGAGATGGATCACAAAAATATAGACCAACAAATAGACTATTTCCATACAACGGTTTCAACAACCGAGAATGTCGCTATATATATTTTCAATGAGTTAAAAAAGCACATGTCCAATCCCGAATTGTTATATGAAGTAAAGGTCCACGAAACTGACAAGAATGTTATGTATTTTAGGGGGGAATACGATGAAAATGTACCTTCTACTTCTTAATTATTAATTATTACATTATAATTGTACAATCTTATTCATCTCTGATATATATGATCTTTTTATTACACGTTTGTATAATACAATCACATAATTTGTATAATATTGAATTATATTATAATATTGAATTATATTAAAACAATCGAAAATAATATATGTAAATTATGTATTATATATGGATAATTAAAATTCAACATTCCAATTTCATCGTAATTTCTTTAAATAAAACAGACTAGTTGTAGCAGATAATTACACTCTACAATATCGCAAAAAATTAAATGCTTCACCGTAATATGTTTTCTTTAATGCACACACACATATGTAGTCTCTCTAAGATGGTTGTTAGAATTTTGAGATTCTATTCTAATTAGAATTTAACTAATAGGACACTATTAATTAATATGTATCTATGTTACATCTTTACATATTTCCGGTACTTGAAAATATAAAATACACACGCATGTGTGTATATTCTTAATGATGATTTGTTATAGCATTTATAAAATAGTCCCTTTGTAAAAAAGTTAACAAGAGTACATATCACAATATAATCATTCTATAAATAATTTCTAATTCGCTAATGTATGCATATATGTAATCATAAATATCTGCGATTTTATATTCTCTTCGCATGAGGAATTAATCATTTTCATATACGTTACTTTTAATTATGTACAGAACTTACTACATCGTTTATAACAACGTAATGAAAATGTTCGTTATAAAGCTGTATATATTTTTTTATAAGGTCCAGATTTTTAGGAAACACTTTAATAACTAATATAACTAGGAGGAAAGTTAATTTTCAGGTAGAGATATTAGGCTACTATGGGACATAATTCGCTTATTAGTCTAGTATTTGATATTTTCAGTTATTTTAAATGTTAAATAAATAAAATGTATAATCTTTAAAACAATAATTCAAAAAACATATATAATAACAATAAATCAATATCTCGAATCAAGTATTACATATACTCATTTATAGTGACTTCTGAAATTATCACTAAATCATAAGTTTTCACTGTACTAGTTATGTAGAGATTTCTTTATATCACATTTTTATATTTTTTCTTACAATATAAAATTTAATTCGTCTTAAAGACATTTTATAATAAATTCTTTAAAACAGATCTGTATGATAAAATTAATGTTTATATAAACGGGACATCACGTAAACATCTGCGCATTTAAACACTAAATATTGCTATAGTTGTATCAAGTATACTATCGCGTAATAAATAATATATGCATTGCAGTATTAGTGTTCTCGAAATTATTATAAGAATTATATATTCATATTATAACTCGACTTGATGTAACTTCGAATAGTCACGTACGGTATACCGAGTTCAAAGTTATCCCTGGGCCAATACTTGAGCACTGGAGACTGCTGTGGCTTCTCATCTTGTACGGCGAAATACGCAAAGAGCACCGCCGCCGTGTAACTCGCAATGAAGATAAACAAATGCCACAATGCATGGAGATATGGGAAGTTTAGGTTCAGCCAGGTATCGCAGAACAGACGATCGTTTAGCCAACAGACCACCGCTAGTATCCACATGATGCCGCATCGCAATCCTAGTCTGTACACTCTTACCGAGGTAGTCCTTCAAATTTTTTAAGACACCGTTACAATGTTATTCTGTGCGATTTTTACATCGAATATATTCTTATGTTTCCATCATATTAATCATTATTGGAGTTTCTCTTTTCAAATCCATGTAATGTTCTATATTGAATGTTTGTACGAAGAAATTACCTCTTCAGTTCCATGATCAAGAATCCAATCGCCGGTACACCCAGACTCATCAATGCGAAAGCATTTACAGCCGGATGTATCAAGGCCAAACCGGTGGCGATTAGAGTGGGCAACGTTGCGCATATAGAGAAGAGCTTTCTGTCATTATGTACGACATTGGGGAAATATCTTCTGGGAAAGAACATACAGAAGCCTGCCATATACACCCACAAAATAGACAATTCATCTAATAGTTGACCTATCGCATATATGCACAAGATTAGCTAAAGGCAACATAAATATCAATTTTATAAATTAAGCAAATACATACATCTCGACAAATACTTTTAAATAGCATTCCTTTTTTGTTGTGAGTTGTTGTTAAATAGTAAATATTGATACTTGGAATTCTCACCTATCAAGGACAAAGTAGCATGAAAATACGCGCTAGAAAGTCCAACTATCATCAGTAAAAACCAGAATACATGAATTCCTGGATTCACAAAGCGTGCATAGTCTCTAAATAGGTGCATGAGGACAGGTGGAAGCAACACGAAGACCACATTGCTCAACTAAAAAAATAAAAATAGATAAGTTAAACAATGAAAGATATACTTCCTTTCTATATTTATATCATATTTATTTTTCCAATGTAATTTATCATGATTTAACGGTTTTGTGTGAAAAATGGTCTTGTATGTTTGTATAAACTATAGCAGAAATATAATATCATGTTCTATTGTTCTAAAATATGAAATTTAGTTCCAGATAAAACTGTTTTCAACAACAAACAACTTCCGTTTATATTAGAGCGATAAAATTTTTAGCTGAAGATAAAGACTCATCAGAGATATATAAGAGAAGATAAGATTCATAAAGATTCATTATATATCAGAGTTATTGGAGATAAGAAATAATGAATTAAGATATATAAATTAATTATATTCTTCCTTGTCTTTGTGTAGATATAAACGTATTATATTATTATTATCTTTCTAGTATATATCCTTTGTTCTGTTAATAATATAATTTCATTTGCATAACAAGTTTTTGTCTCGGATCTAAATAACTTTGACCTATGAAATTGTAGAAATTGTACTTAGAACCTACCTCGAGCAAAAAATTGTCTCGACAAAAAACTGGAAATCATTTATATACTTGAATCAATGTAACTCTGAATATTAAGTATTTTATGACTAATTTAGAAGAAAATATTGGATTAAGATTTTATTGTCCACTTATATCTTTTTCTTGAGGAAAAAGTAATTCCATAATTCTTAATTATAATTCAATCGGATCTCAATTCTCGTAATTGTATTTTGTGTAGAAAAAATTAATTCCTATTTAGAATTTATAAAAAATAGCCAAATTAATTCCTATTTAGAATTTATAAAAAATAGCCATAAAAGCTGTGTATCTTTTATCTTGCTTATAAAGTAGTATGGACTTCCTTATCACAAGCGTCTAATTTATGACACTTTTACCTATGAATTATTTGACATTTTACAAATGTAGAATTTGTCTTGTGCAAAAAAATTATCTGTCAAATTGTTTCCCTCATGCAAAACACCTGGAAACTTATTATCATTTCCTCCTTATTTTCGAGTCAATCACATAATTAAAATTCCATCGAATTGCGATTCTCATTATTCAAAAAGTATACTTGGACTTTCTCGTCCAGGCAGAACCGTTTTCAAATTGTTCGAACAAAGAAAGGTCCATACACGCGCATAAACAGCGTAAACAAAACGCGCAATACGAACCGTGTTCATAAACTCGGCGATGCTAGGAGAAATGTTGTAGTTGCGCTCACACCAATCTACGGGCGAACTACCATGTTCGAAGGGTTTCCACATGATTGCTATTCAGCAAATCTCTTCGGATAATTCAAGCTGTTTAGTAGATCCGAGAAATATCTATTATATTTGATCCTTCACTGAATCATAGAAGCCTAGTCGGCCTGATCTCTCAACAATAAATACTTCTGTACAATTCACGCGTGCCAATAAATGGCATGCGATTCCGTTTGCATAAAAAGAATAGAAATGCAAATTTTGTTCTTAGTTTAACGGTACATCTCGCAGAAACATTCACGATTATTTACGAATGGCTAACAACATGTGACGTGACAATTGATGACAGTAAAACGGCTACACGTAACTAACTGCGAAGTACGACTGCGGACAGTACGGACTAACCAGAAGTGCCAGAACTGATTCGTTGAATGAACTGATCCTCACTCTCCGCTCGCCAGCTAAATACTGCGCCGTTTTCACACCGTGGAGAAGGATAGATAAATGTACTCTCGCGCACAACATACCATTATTACTGATTACGACTAACTTGGACCAACTTGGACTTGAACTGCGATCGTAAACTGCAATTGCTGCGATTAACGGCCAGAAAGAATGTATTCAGCTGAGTATTTCGCTGAATCGCCTTTTTCTGCCTTTATAAGTTTTCTTTTTATATTAATATGAATTATAGTAAAAACTTTCACGGATCAGCCGAAAAAGCACCTTGAATCATATTTATTATCAACATGAATCATCTTATTATCAAAACAAAAGATCACATTGCAATTGCAGATTGCAATTTATATGCGCAGTGAACTGTACGCGCAAACGCTATCGAAGGAGTGTGTTCAGGAATTACGCACAGATATAATTCTAGATATAGACTATAGTTTATGTCACATATATAATACTAAAAGTACATATATTAAAAGTGCATATCTAGAGATTATCTAGACGTAATTCTTGAACACACCCAAGGATTGTATACATAGCTGGATACTGCAAATAAAATTTTTCCCTGCGAAATAAGTTTCGGAACGCACCAAATTTGCAGAGATGATTGCAATCACGGATCAGGGATATCATCAAATATCATAGAAATGATGTCGCCGCGTCGAGAGAAGAGAAGCTCTAAAAAAAAGGAAAAGAAAAAGAATTATTGTATCTGGATTCCCTTAACCGACACCAACTAAAAGTAACATAACATCAATATTGTTATTTTGCACTAAACAATATAAATGTATTCTCTAAAATTTTTAGGGTGAATTTCACTCTGTAAACTAACTCTTTGTTCCAAATTCACTCAATTTTCACTCATTAGATTCCATTCCAAAAAATTTAAAGAATAATATAGAACCAAAAGAGTGTTACATAACATTTACATTATTGAATGCAAAATTGTAGCATTAATGTTATATATTTTTAGTTGGTATCGATTAGATTAGATCGATAGATCGATGTCTTGGATTTAAAATCATCCGCAAGCACCTCTTTAAATCTTTTTTAAACCTTCATTAAAAAAATTCACTTTTAAACTTTTCCTCACAACAACGCAAGGCCCAAAAAAATCTTTGCTCTTGATTTCTCAATATCGCGATTGTTGTATCAACTAATTATTTTTATTGATAATATAAGCTTGATAATATAAGCTCTATTATTTACAATAAAGTTACAACTTATATGACATGAAATTGAGTACAGCTGTCGCAATAAAAATAGAAACACCTCGCGATACTCGCACAAGATTTCAAAAGTGCATATCTAGAGATTATCTAGACGTAATTCTTGAACGCATCCAAGGATTGTATACATAGCTGGATACTGCAAATAAATCTGCCAGATTTTCTGAAATATAGTCCCGAGTCCGTCATCGCGTCTTGCACATCCTTTCCCTCCGAACTGCGTTAACCGCCATGTCGACGTGCTCGTTAATGAGAGGTATCGCTTGTTCGATCAAGAGTATCTCCGCGGCCGAGATTTTCGGTAAGCCAAAATTTCGCTTGACACCTTCCGGGCCTAGCTCTAGCTCGCTAGTGAAAAATCGGCAGATCGGTAATACGTCCGATCGTACGTAGGCGCAGATGATGATATGGTTGAACCCGGATAGACCGGCAGCGAGATTGATTATTAACTTGGTAGCGGCCGTTCCGGATGGTAACGATGGACCTTCATCGAACGCTATCCTTGTCTCCTTATCACTGGCCCGAAATGATTGCAGCAGGGTCTTGCGTTGTGTCTGATATATAGTTATATAATAGAATTAATTATTACTTACAGAGACGTAAATTACATATATAACTTAATTAACAAGTAAGATTTAAGCGATATCGTGCAATTGTATAAATATGTTGTATAAATATCGTTAATTATATTAATTAACGAAGATATGAAGAAATGACATTGAGAATCCAGATATTTACAAAAGATATGTGATGACAAGAGATGTGTGTATTTGATCTTTGCCCGTTTAATATATGTATTATAAAGATCTTGATTCTTAGTATATAGGAATTTGTTTTTAATTTTTAGAGAATTTTAAAGTAAAATTTTAATTTTTTTTTCTGTAGATGAATATGTAACTATTTTATTTAGATCAATGCAATAGTTATTTTCTACTTGTCAAATAAAACGGAGAAACAATTGTAGACGAAATTACTGTCCCCTGTTTTAATACATATATTTATTCTCTTTACTTAAGACTTAGGGAGATCAATTTTTTAGTCCCTTTAAAAGAATTAAATATTATTATAGTATAATATTTATGAAATGTTGAATAAAAAATTGAATTAAATAACTTTTAATAAACTTACAGATATTAAATAAATTTTTTAACATTTTTTAAAAACATATTACGATTGCTTAAAAATGACTTATAATAACAGTGTGTTCAAATTCTTTAAAAGAACTATATATTAGAGAGATTAGAAATTAAAATTTCCTAAAACTTATTCTGTAATGTGCTCTTTGTTTCCTGTTTTTCTTATTTTTTACATTTTGCTTTTAACTCCTTTGCAACCATTTTATCGACAATTATATTTCTTACTATGTATTTCTATTGCTATGTATTGCTATTGTATTTCTTGTTTCTTTCAAAGTTCGTTAAAGACGTTCTCTGATTGTATTCTCTGAGTTATGCTCAATCTAATGAGCACATTAGTGCTCATCATTATGTAAATTTATTTCACTTTTATATAGTATAAGATATTCCATAAGTGTTAATGTATTTATACAAGTTTTTTTATACAATACAAAATGCCTCCCATCTTCGTCGTCAGTTGAAAAAATAGCGATTTTATAAAGTAAATAACACAGTAAGTATACTTACTATGCTTAGTTACTTACTTTGCTTAATGATTTCTTAAAAACGAATACCGGAAGTCATATTCAGATAAATTTCATATTATTCTTATGATATCAAGTTTCTATTTCATTGTTTCAAAAAATTGT